AACACAAAACGCCAACCCACACATTCAAATCTGCCCCTGACGCCTCCGCTCCTCCGCGGCCTCGGCCTCCTCAATCTCGTTCCACAGCTTCCACTCCTCCTCCGTGATGTGGAACCACTGCGCAAGGCCCGTGATGAGAGCCCACAGCTCACCCGCAATCACCAGGTGCAAAAACTCCAGCCCGAGGAAGTTGGTCACGCCCCGCAGCGTCATGCCGCTAAAGATATTGGTGTCGTGGATGTCGAACGTAGGTAGGCCCATCCTCTCGCGGTAGGACCTCGCCACCAAGCGAAGAGCGACGGCTTCGTATGGCGAGACCAGGACGTAGCCCGAGATCACGGTGAAGATGTCTGACGCCAGACACGCCGGCAGCCTGGTCAGCATGGTGTCCATGTACTGGATCGCGGCGCCGTATCCGGAACCTTCGGGACCCGTGCTTGGCCGCAACTCGGCGGACCAGAGCCCGGGAGGCGCATCGGTCGAGTCCGTCGCTTCCACGTCGAAACTGATGAGCGTCGCACTGATGCCTCCGTCCTCTTCGTCGTCGCTGCCGTAGTCTTCTCCCCTGGCTGAGAAGGCGCTTGGTCGGCGCACTGCCTGGACGGGTGGTGTGTCGCTAGGTTCCGCTTCCGGCGGAATGTCCTCAAGGATATCTTCACTCCTCAGCTCAGAGAGAGGTTCGGGCTGTGGACGATCCACGTCGGGCACTGGCTCCGGGGTCTCCGGGATGGTCACCGGCGGTAGTGGAGGCGGCGGCGGTGGAGGCTTGCGGTGGTGCACGGTATTCGGCAGCCGTCCGTAGAACTCTTGCCACAGGTGGCCAGTCACTTCCGTCCAGATCTGGCCCCAAATGACATACGAAACAAAGGGGATCGAGTTCACACACCACGCGCCGGCATACTGCACCAGCGACGATGGGCTAAAGTCCTGTGGCGGCGCCGGCGCTGCGATGGGCGACGAGGGCGAGCCCGGGATGAAGAAGCTCAGCGAGGGGAACCATCTCGCAGACGGGATAATGTCAAGCCTCTGGAGGAAGACATACAGCTGAAGGTGCACCCGGATGTACGACAGCGCCGTGTTGACAAACTTGTTCTTTCGCGGGTACGGGTAGAACCAGTAGGTGGCCATCTTGAAGACGTGGCCGCCGAGGAACGTCGGCAGACCCGTGATGAGGGCGGACGATATCGACCGCTGGCTCCGCTCGTGCTGGAAGAGCTCAAAGAAGGAAATGTCGGCGTACCGCCTGTACAGGAGAATGCGCAGTCGCATGCCGTTAATACCCCAGACGCCGGCAATCTCCAGCGCACGCCCGAACCGCAGCAGCCGCGTGCCCACCGCATCCTCGTAGTTGAAGTATCGTCGCACGGAATCGACTTCAGCGGTGGAGGGCGTGTTGTCCGGCTCGGCGACGCCAATGACCTGCATCACCTCGTTGTGGGAGCGCACCATGTCGCGGTTCATCCGTTTCGTTTCGGGGTTGACCGGTCGTCCGCGGTTGTCGTATTGCTGGGTCGGCGCATGCGGGTCGTCTTCGCCTTCGCCATCGACCACATCGTCAAATGGCGAGCGGCCCTGGGGGCGTTAGTGAGGCTTGGGGTGGGTTGGGGACAATCGTACCAAGGCCTGCGCGGTCAATGGACCGAGTCTCGTCATGTTGAGTGGTGGGTGGAAGGCCCATGGGCGGTGGAGGATGGGCCAAACGAGTGCTCGGGATCTTCTAGGTAGATTGGAATTAATTCACAGGTTGAAGATGCAAGTCTGCGATCGCAGGTGATCCCAAGCTCCAGGCACTTGAAGTGGTCTTGGAGACAGGAGCTCCTGCACGAAAGCGGGTCCGATAAGATAGCGCTATCGATAAGCATCATCCCGCCAGACGAAAAAAAAATCTGGGACAAAGCGCTGCTTGCCGCATGTCGCGACCGATTGCACCGCTTCGATAGACCGACAAGATGGCGAGCAAACAGCCCCTCAAGACGACGTTCGAGCCCGAACGGGTCATACGGCCCATCTTCACCGGCGGCTCCGTCGCATTGGACAATGGTGCTAAGATTCTCGCAACACCCCTCGGCGAGGACGCCATCCTCACCAACCCCTCCAACGGGAAACATCTGGCAAAGATTGAAGGAGTATGCGCCCCGGGACGTCTGTAGAGATGCACGGCTAACCTTAGTGTCAGGATGGCGAAACGATCTCGACGCTGACCCGTATGTATACTTTGTACCCGACGGAACCCACCATCTGACAGCTGCAGTGACCCCCTCCGGCTCGCACCTCATCATCTGTTCCCGATCGCTCGCGATGAAGATCTACGCCCTCAAGACCACCGAAGACGGAACGATAGAGGCGAAGCTGACGCGCTCGCTGAAACCCCACGGGACCCCGGTCGTCGTCCTCGCCGTCGACCGAACGAGCACTCTCCTCGCGACCGGAGGCACCGACGGAGCGATCAAGGTCTGGGACATTGCCGGCGGATACGTCACCCACACCTTCCGCGGACCGAGCGTGCTCGTCTCGGCCCTGCACTTTTTTGAAGTAGCGGCGCGTTCGAATGAGGACGCAAGCAAGAAGGGGAAGAAGGCGACACAGACCGAGGAGGAGACTACGACAACGACAACGAATTGGCGTCTGGTGTCCGGTAGCCAGGACGGAAAAGTACGGGTGTGGGATCTGCACAAACGCGCTGCCGTTGCCAGTCTCGACTCGCACGTCTCCAACGTTCAAGGCCTCGACTACTCCCCCGAACAGCAGGCCATCGTCTCGGCCAGCAGAGATAAGACAATCATCTGGTGGGACGCGCGGTCGTGGAAGATTAGAAAGGTTGTGCCGTGCCTGGAGCTCGTCGAGGCCGTTGGTTTTGTTGATGGTGGCCGCCTGACGTATTCCGCCGGCGCCAAGGGCTGCCTCCGGATCTGGGACACCGACACGGGCCGGGAGCTCACAAAGGATCAGCCGGAGAAGGCCGAGGCGGAGGGCGTCGTCAGCGCCGTCTCGCATCCCGAGCTCCCATTCATCCTCTGCGTCCAGGTCGACCACACCCTGGCGCTATACAAGGTGCCGGAGAAGGATGCCGTTGAGGGATCGGTCATGGAGCCGTTTAGACGCATCTCCGGAACTCACGACTCCATCATCGATCTCAACTACCTCTTGCCCGACCGCTCCCTGCTTGCGCTGGCCACCAACGCCGAGGACATTCGCATCGTTTCGGTCAAGGACTCCTCAGAAGACGCGACGTACTTTGGCCAGGATATCGCGCTGCTCAAGGGCCACGACGACATCATTGTCTCTTTGGACGTCGACTGGTCCGGATACTGGATCGCCACCGGCGCAAAAGACAACACCGCTCGTCTCTGGCGCGTCGATCCCGCCAACAACTCATACACATGCTACGCCATCTTCACCGGCCACACTGAATCGGTCGGCGCCGTGGCACTCCCGAAGCAACCTCCCCAAGAATCATCAGCACAGTTCAAGGATCCTCTGAGCCACCCCCCGCCATACCTCTTCACCGGCTCCCAGGACCAGACCGTCAAGAAGTGGGAGATTCCCCGTGAACCCCAACAAACCCGCAAGGGCGGATCCCGCGCCGTCTTCACCCGCAAAGCGCACGACAAGGATATCAACGCCATGGATGTCCACCCGGCCAGCCAGCTCTTCGCCTCCTCCTCCCAGGACAAGATGGTAAAGATCTGGTCGGTGGCCGAGGGCGAGGTCCAGGGCATCCTCCGCGGCCACAGGCGCGGCGTGTGGTCCGTCAAGTTCGCCCCTGCCGGATGCCCCGCGATCCAGGGCGACGAGGGCCAGGTCGCCGGCAAGGGCGTCGTCCTCACCGGCAGCGCCGACAAGACGGTCAAGCTCTGGAGCCTCAACGACTACTCGTGCATCCGGACGTTCGAGGGCCACTCCAACAGCGTCCTCAAGGTCGCCTGGCTCAACATGCCCAAGCCCGAGGGCAAGGGCAAGAAACAGGTCCAGTTCGCCAGCGCCGGCAGCGACGGCCTCGTCAAGGTCTGGGACGCCAACTCGGGTGAGGCCGAGACGACACTCGACAACCACGAGGACCGCATCTGGGCCCTCGCCGTCCACCCGGTCGACAACACCGTCGTCTCGGGCGACGGCGACGCCCTCGTCACCTTCTGGAAGGACACCACCGCCGAATCCCAGGCCGCCGCCACCGAAGCCGCCCAGAAGCTCATCGAGCAGGAGCAGGAGCTCCAAAACCACATCCACCACGGTTCCTACCGTGAAGCCATCGTCCTCGCCCTCCAGCTCAACCACCCCGGCCGCCTCCTCAGCCTCTTCACGTCAGTCGTCACCTCCACTCCCGAACCCGGCAGCCTCTGCGGCCTCAAAGCCGTCGACCAGGTCCTCGCCACGCTCTCGGACGAGCAGCTCTTCACGCTGCTCCTCCGCCTGCGCGACTGGAACACCAACGCGCGGACGGCCGCCGTCGCGCAGCGCATCCTCTGGACGCTCGTCCGCAGCTACCCGGCGTCCAAGTTCTCCAACCTCTCGGTCAAGGGCGCGCGGGGCCAGCGCAGCCTCAAGGAGGTGCTCAACGCGCTTCGCGTGTACACTGAGCGGCACTACAGGCGGACGGACGAGCTCGTGGACGAGAGTTACCTGGTGGAATATACCCTGCGGGAGATGGACAGTCTCGCGCCCCCTGCGATAGAGGATGTGGCCATGGAGGATGCCGCGGCGGATGTCATAATGGTGTGACGTGAGGAGTAGATGTAGGAGTTTAAAATAGAATGGTTTTCTTGGTTTTTTGCTGTTGTGTCCAGGTCAAGCTCTGAGAAATGTGCACGATTTGCTACCCTTACATGCTTGAGTATTTGGCTGCTTCGGACGTTCAGGAAATAGATCGATAGCAGACTCTTGCCACCTAAGTAGCTTGTGCTATGTCTTCTTCTTGTCGGTGGCCACTATATAGGCTTGCGTCTGCGCTCAAGCCCGTATCGCAATCTCGTGCGTGCGAGCTTCCACGTGCGTCCTCCTCTTTAACCTCTGCGAGTGGTCCTTCGTTCGTTTTCAGATACTCGCTGCTGCTGTGCTCTGTCTCTTCCTCCCAACCTAGTCAAGTTCTCTCCCAGCCTAGCACGGTTATCCGCCTCTTCGACTTGTCTAGCTTGACCAATGGGCGACGGCGCGGGCACCCATTGATCGAGAAGGCTTCTTGTTGCCGCCGCGGCTGTGGCAGCAGCATGGTGTTGCCAAGCTTTGTTCTTGTGACTGTCAGCATAGTTGGCCACCCCCTTGGTCACAATGCAGGGTAAGTTGTCCCAGACTCCAGCGCCCTCCATCTCAAACGCGACGAGTTTGTGTTCTGCTGCAATCTGATCTCGGTCTCTCCCTGACATCATGACAGTATCCCCTGATCCAAGCGACCCAAGGAAAACACGAGGCTGCCGATGCTCGGCCTGACTCTGGAGATGTGTTCGAGGCACTCGACGGCCAACATCACAGCCGAGTTCGGCGCACGTAGCTTGCATGGCCTCTTCGCAGACACGAGACTCCCGACAGTCGCAGTCCCATTCTCCCCGGTGCCTGTGGGTGTAGTCGGACTGGAAGAGTACATCTTCATCGTTTGGCCGACTGTACTCGACAGAATAGTCCTTTCCGATTGCCTTGTTTTGGATTTGTGAGAGGTTTTCGAAGATTTCCTGTTCCAAGTTCCGCTTTCGCCTTATAGTCTCAAAGTTGACGAGGAATGACCGAATCTCTCTGGCTGGCCGGCTCAGGCTGTCTTCCACGCCGTGTTTGGTCTCGAATCTGTCCGGGAACCGTCGCCCCAGGTCATACTGAACGAGACTTTTGCTGATAATGACATCCCCAAGTAAAACCTCTCCTCCACCACCAGCGTTGGGTACGCCACCGCAGATGCCGCACAAAATAGCCAGCCTGATACAGCCATAGGAAGATCTAATCTTGGCTGCAGAGCTCGCCGCATTGACCTTGCCTATGCCGGGGAGGAGGACGAGGACGACGTTGTGTCTGCCGATTCGACCTAGGGTATAGTTGTTTGTGTCCCCTTGAGCTTTCCCAAGCTCGTTTCCGAGTCCGTCCCACAGCTCGTCGAAGATTAGGACAATAGAATCAACCTCGAGGGGAAGAGAGCAGATTACTGCAACGGTGAAGTCTTCACGGCGGCGTGGAGGAACAGTTGTCATTGTGTGAATTGTATTTGTTGATTGCGTACGAGGACCGCTCATCACCATCAGTTCTTCGAGCCATCGTAGCGATCTTATAGTTCGAGACACTCTTCAACTAGCCATCGTGAAATCTCAATGCGCTGCAGAAGAGGCGCTGGAGGTCCTCACTTTGAGACACCGCTGCGGCCAACTTGAAGACCTACCAACAGCCTGGCGCTTCTGACAAGTATGTCATTGGACGACAACGCAACGACATTTAGTCGCGCCATGTTGCATGCGTTGCAAGCGCTTAGGATCGTCCTCGCGGAGATCTTTCGATTCAATTTGGACGCAATTGGAAATGCAATGCTTGGTGGGTTTGCATCCTCTGTGGCCGTGTAGTCACAAATGATGTCTGGATGAGGTTGCAGAAGCTCTGGGCGTGGCTTCCAACAGTGGGGGCGTGCACCTAGAGTGATAGACTGGCGACTTTTTCCAGGCCTGCAACCAGGAACCACCAATCCATACCTGCGACTTCAGCCTCGCACTCAAGAAAACCACCAACACCACTCGATACCCCTCTAGACACCACACACACACAGCATGGCGCATAGGAAACGTCACGCCGAGGACCCCCTCGACGAAATCGCAGGCATCGACTCGCCCGCGTCAAAACGCTCACGAACCGTCGATTCCCTCATCTCCAACGGCTCGCTCGAAAACGGTCACGACACAGCGACGACGACGGACGACGCAACACCCACAAACGGCACAGCTGAGATACCACAAGATGATGCCGAAAGCGACAGCGAAATAGAGGACGACGCGCCGGTACATGTCCCGATCCGCCAATCGGCGCCGACGGACGGCTACGACGACCTCTACCTCGACACGATAGACCGCAACGTGCTCGACTTTGATTTCGAAAAGCTGTGCTCCGTCAGCCTGTCCAACATCAACGTCTACGCGTGCCTGGTCTGCGGCCGCTACTACCAGGGCCGCGGCCCCAAATCGCACGCCTACTTCCACGCCCTCGACGAGAATCACCACGTCTTCATCAACATGCAGACACAAAAGGTCTACGTCCTCCCGGAAGGGTACGAGGTCAAGTCAAAGTCCCTCGACGACATCAAGTTCGTCTCGGACCCGCGCTACACGAAATCCGAAGTCTCCGCCCTCGATCGCACACCGCTGCGCGCGTCCTTTACGCTCGCGGGGAGGGAATACGCACCCGGCTTCGTGGGCATGAACAACTTGAAAGAAAACGACTACCTCAACGTCGTGGTCCAGGCCCTCGCGCATGTCGGCCCCTTGCGCAACTTCTGCCTCCTCGAAGACCTCTCGTCCCGCTCCGAGCTTGCCAAGCGCTTCGGCATCCTCGTCCGTAAGATCTGGAACCCGCGCGCCTTCAAAGCCCACGTCTCCCCCCACGAGCTGCTCCAGGAGATTTCCCTGCTGTCGAATAAGCGCTTCACCCTGACAGCGCAATCCGACCCCGTCGAGTTTCTGTCGTGGTTCCTGAACAACCTGCACCTGGGCCTCGGCGGATCGAAAACAAAACCCGGCAGCTCCGTCGTGCAGCGCATCTTCCAGGGCAAGCTCAAAGTCGAGTCGCAAGCCATCACGGCGCGCGCCGACGCGGGCGACCGTCTACGCTTCGAAGACGCAGCCGTGTCAGTCACCTCATCCCGCTTCATGTTCCTCACCCTCGACCTCCCCGCGGCGCCCCTCTTCCAAGACGAGCTCGAAAAGAACATCATCCCGCAAGTGCCCCTCACGACCATCCTCTCTAAATACGACGGCATCCACGCGCAAGAGCACCTCGCCCAGCGCAAGCGGTACCGTTTGTTACACCCCCTACCTCCCTACCTCGTACTGCACGTCAAGCGCTTCAGCCAGAACAAGTTCGTCTCGGAGCGGAACCCGACGATTGTCACGTTCGACCCGCGCGGGCTGGACGTGAGCCCCTACGTGGAGCCAAACCCGGGCGAGTGGTCCCCCGGCGAACCCATCTGGTACGACCTCGTCGCCAACGTCGTCCACGAGGCCGTGCGCGCCAAGGAGGACGTCGCGGACAGCGGGGAGGAGCGCAAGACGTGGAAGGTGCAGCTCAAGGATAAGGGGCGCGACGAGTGGGTATCGTGCCAGGATCTGTTTGTGGAAAAGGTGCAGAGCGAGCTGTTGTACCTGGGCGAGACGTATCTGCAGGTGTGGGAAAGGCGGAGGACGCCGAGGAAAGCGTAGATTGTACGATTAATGCCATACGGGATGCGTTAGTCCCATGTCACGCATGCATTCAGTTCACGTTCCGTGTCAGTGATGGTCCAGAGTGAGCTCATTTCGTAGTCATTTGGGACTATCCATACGGCCCGTACCTTTCAGACCGCGCATCCAGCAGCTCAACAAAAGCATACCGAAGCATGCGACACTCGCATCGCAGGTTAGTGTTACACCTCCCGAGAAAGATGATGAGATTTGGGGATCTTATCCATGACCTGCCGCCTGGTTCGCAAACCCATAAAACAAACGTGACCGCTAAACGTTTGACCGCTGACCCCCGTTTTCCATTTCCCTCCCAAAAAATCGATTCCCGTTTCCGAGGTCGAAAATTCCAAAAAAGAGGGGTTTCCCCCCCTTCATCAAAGGGGAGCACACAACCGTCTCCAATGTGTCCAAACCTGCTTCCTCATATTTTCCCCACATAGGTGTATTTTTTGTCGGGAGTTTTTCACAAAAACCCGAATGCTATGAAGATCCGTCGTAAGGGGGGTAGTGGATCCAATAGTGTACAAATAAACATCAAAGATGGCTTGGAAGAGAGAAACAAAACAAAGATGCAACAAGGTTGGTGGCGTGGCGCTTTCCCGGCGAGGAGGGTCGTTGCTTTCGGGGGTAATGTGAACGCTCCACTCACGAAGCGGCGGGCTTCTGCTCTTCGGTGGTCTGTTTGTTGCCGCGCTTGTCGTGCTGCTTCTCGCGGCGGGACTCCTCGATGGCGGCTCGGTGCTGGATGCTCTCGTCGTGGGACTTGAACTCGAACTGCGTGTTGGGCGGACACTTGAGGTACGACTTCCACGTTTCACTGCAGGTGTTAGCTATGCCTCAAAAACTTGGGACCTAAGATGCTCACCGAATCCTCAGCACGCGTCCGCCGGTCGAGCGGGTCCAGATACTGATGATATCCTCGCCGTTGCGGACGCTCACCACACCGCCACAGACCTCCTCGCTGGCGTCGATAAAGGCCTCGCCGAGGAGCGCAAACACGGTATCCTCCCAGTACCGGTCGACGATGCCCTTCTTGAGACGGAGCACCCACTTGCCGCCGCTTCTGTTCTCGTCGTCCTCCCAGATTGGGCGGATGCCCCGCTTGAAGAAGTGGTATTCCCAGCCCACGGACAGCTCAGAGGGCCGCTTGAGGTGGGGATAACCGACCCAGAACTCCTCCACCGAGTTGCAGTGGATCATTGGCGTCAGCGATTTGGCGTACTCCTGGTACGGCTGGCCCTTTGGCTGGGGCGGCCGACACCACGTCACCCACTCGTACTTGAGGGGGTGGACGCGCAGCTGCTCCGAGGACGTCCGGGTGGAGGCGGGCTGGGAGCCCAGGGCCTTCTTCTCGGGGATCGGAGCGATGGAGGGGACCTTGGCCGCGGGGTCGTGCTGCGACGCCGCCTTGGCGCCGCCGCCAATCTTGCCCATGGCGAGGTCGAACGGGTTGCCAGGGGACTTGGGCGTCTTGGCGGAGCCGAAGGAGGCGAAGGCGCCGGAGCCCAGGCCAAAGGCGTTGGCCGCGCCGGCGGTGGTGGGCGACGCCATGCCGCCCGCGCCGGGGGTCGTTACGTTGTTGAAGGGATTTGATTTGCCGCCGTGTGAGGACGTATCGCCGCCGAATCGTTTGGCAAAGGAGCCGTTTCGGTTGGCGTCACCGCCCGGCGCGGGACTACCATTTGTCGAGAGTGAAAGCTTGCCAGAGCTGTGCGTTCGTTAGTGTCATGACGTGCAGGGGGGCAGAGGGACGAAAGGCTCACTTTGTGCGGCGGGTCCATAGGTTGTTATCCATTAGGACTGCTTTCGACGGCTTCCGGGGGCGGGGTGAATTTGGCTTGGTCTCGTCAATCCCTCAAAACGTCAAGGGCGGCGGCACCTTGGTTTGTGGTGAATGGTCGCAGTTGTGGCGGCTGGGACAGGGCAAGATGGCGTTGGGATGCGATGAGGTCGGGGATGGCGGCGGCGGCGGGCGTTGCGGGCAGAGGCGGTCGACGAGGGCCTGCTGCAGGGGCGGGTTTGGAGACGGAGAGGCACAGAGAGGAGAGGAGTCGATGGCCGTTGGAGAGATGGAGAGATGGCGGCGTGCGAGAGCTTCGGCGGGGGTGACGTTGACCGGGGGGGTAGGGGAGGTTCTTTTCGTTTGGAGAGAGTGGCAACGTAGCGTCGGTGTGGTATCTCGAGGGAGGTTTGTTTGTGTGTGGGTATTACAGACGTTGGTTGGGATTTTTTTCTGCAGTGTTTGAGCGATGTTGTGAGGCGGGAGTGGGAAAGGCGAATGGATTATCGACTGATGGGGAACAATGAACAGCTTGAAGAGAGAAAAAAAATAATACGGAGTATGGACACTGATGCCCCATCCTCCTCGACCTTAGTCGTCACCTTGTTATCGATGGCGGATAGAGCGATAGCGCCTCGCTTAGCCCAAGTTAGCCTTACCCCTGATGGGTCCACTGAGAGGTCGTGGCCAATGGGGAGACCCAAAAGGACGCTGGAACGGCGCACCACAGTGAGGTGCAGTGAGGTCACAGCGAGGTGTCCTTGAGGCCTCGGGGCTGGAGACGCCCGTCGTCCGTACACAGCATTGGGCGCGCATAGCTTTGGTAGGGCAGCGCCAGCGAAAAAGCACCCAACCTCTTCACCATTTGCATTTCTCGGATTGGGCGGACATGCCTTTACTCGCATATGTCCCATTCTGTCGCTCTTCAATACCAACGATTGTCTGCCCCGGCACTTGGGATGGACGTCAAAAGCACAACGGTCGGATGGGGAAGTGCAGAACGTGCATGGCCTGAAACAATTGCCGGCTGACCCAGCCCAGGTGCCTAGCATTGGCCACAATGGAGTCATAGATGAAGATGCAGTGACGGTCAGCGAGGAGCTCTGGCTTTGGCGGTTGACGTGCTATTTTCAGCGTCGTGCCGTCTAAGCGCCAGAGCCTCACAGCAACGACCTGACATGATGCAAGACAGCCTATAGACGAGACACCACAGATGCCCATCTGCAGACAACACCAAAGACAAGATGCCATAACATAGGCATCAATGGATCATCAAGACGCTGTCAGCAACTCAACATCAACGGCAACCACGTGGTGTGCCTGGGAGAGACGTAACGACGCCCTCTGGTTGGCCTACCCCGCCATTTACTCGGCCCACACCCCTGACGGCGCCCGGTGCACAGTGCATCCACGTCCCTCCAATTCCTGCCCGTCATCCAAAGAAAAGAAAGTGCAGATTCCCGTCGCGCCTGAGCCCTCGACGCGCTTACCTCACCCGTTGATCGGCATCCAACGTCAACCTCCACCACCGCCTCTCCCCTTTGCATTTCGGCCATGCCCACGATCTAGCACTTCTCGTTGCGCCATGGAAAAGTTCCTGCGGGAATGGAGGCAGGATGCCCTGAACAAGGCCCAGTACGATTCCGCCATCTTCATCGGCGACAAGCTGCTAGCCCTGACCAGTACGTGAGATGGCACTCATTAGCCCGCTCTGCCTGTCTAACGTGGACAGACGACGATAAGGACGCCTTCTGGCTGGCTCAAGTCCACTTTGCTACCGGCAACTACACACGAGCCCAAACCTTTCTCGCAAAACAGGACCTCGTCGCCCGCAACGTTTCCTGTCGGTACCTAGCGGCACACTGCCTCGTCAAGCAGTCGAGATTCGACGAGGCCTTGGCCATCCTCGGCGAGCGGAACCCGACGCACCTCATCAACAATGCGAGCAACAAGCGGAAGCAACAGAACACGGCGCCACTAGGTCGCGCAGTCGGCCATCCCAAGGGTGGTTCAAGAGACAGACATGCCCGCGACGAGGCGGCAGAAGAAGAAGCGACGAACCGGAAATACGAAGCCGCCATGTGCTACCTGCGAGGCATCTGCTATGCCAAGCAGAACGCCTTTGACCGGGCCAAGGAGTGCTACAAGGATGCCGTGCGGATCGACGTGCAGTGCTTCGAGGCCTTCCAGCAGCTCATGACCAACGCTCTGCTGTCTCCCGACGAGGAGTGGGCATTCCTCGAGTCGCTTGACTTTGACGCCATTAGCGTTTCCGGGGATGTATCGTCGTCGCAAGAGGCGGCAGAGTTCACAAAGATGTTGTACACAACGCGGCTGTCAAAGTATAGGGAACCTTCGGCATTCACCGCGGCGTGCGACTCTCTGTCGACGCACTACCGTCTGGCGGACAACCCGGATCTCCTCCTCGCCAAGGCCGACCTCCTCTACACGCAGTGCCGGTATAGAGACGCCCTCGCTATCACCGAGTCCATTCTGCAGGACGACAAGTACAACTTTAGCGTCCATCCTCTGCATCTGGCATGTTTGTATCAGCTCAAGATGAAGAATGCGCTCTTCTTGGTGTCTCACGACCTGGCGGACAACCACCCCGAGGAGCCCTGCTCGTGGTTGGCCGTGGGGATATACTACTTTGCGATTGACAAGATTGCGGAAGCCCGTCGGTATTTCAGCAAGGCCAGCATGATGGACGCACACTTCGGCCCTGCATGGATCGGCTTCGCACACACATTTGCCGCCGAGGGCGAGCACGACCAGGCCATCTCTGCGTACTCTACAGCAGCGAGGCTCTTCATGGGGACACATCTGCCGCAGGTCTTCTTGGGCATGCAGAACCACGCACTCAACAACATGACACTAGCCGAGGAGTTTCTCAAGACGGCCTACGGTCTGTGCAAGACGGACCCCCTACTATTGAATGAGATGGGCGTCGTCAAATATCACCAGGACAAGCCGCAAGAGGCTGTACAATTTTTCCGGGCGGCACTCAAGATCGCCGCCGACATTGACTCTGACCCGCAAGCGTGGCTGGCGCCGAGGACGAACCTGGCACACGCGTACCGTCGCCTGCGGCTCTGGAAGGACGCACACATGGAGTTCGACGAGGTCCTGCGACAGGGCGGCAAAGACGCGACGATATTCTGCGCGAAAGCGCTCATTTATCTCGAAGAGGGACGCCCAGAAAAGGCCGTCGTGCCATTGCATGAGGCGCTCGCGATTAATCCACAAGACAGCATAGCTACCGAACTATTAAACAAGGCCCTGGAAGAGACGTCCACGATTGACGTTGCCGAGGGCGACGAGCTGGAGGCGTTTGAGCAGGAGCTCGAGATGGGCAAGGCGGCCGCCAGGGAGCGCATATCCAACAAACTCCCGAAGTTGCGGCGGGATGCCAAAGGCAAGGCCAAGGTCGGCCGGCCGAGGGTGCTCATGGACGAGGACGAAAAAGGCGAAAGCATGATGGAGATGACTGATGATGATTAGCCCGGCGCGGCAGCACTGTTATCTGGCGTGGGGTCAGCCACCAGCATAGATATCGGTTAATGACAACAAACCTATGAATACCAAACCGTAAATCTCGATCAGTCTCTGCTTTTGGTGGTGAGTTCAGCTAAGCAATGTGGCTTTGGGAGTCATGCCACTGTGGGTTTAGTCTGGCGCCGTGACGAATGCGATTGTTCCTATTCGTCGGGGGTGCCTCGCATTCGCTCGCTAGCGTGGGATTCCGCGGCGGGACGATACCCCGGCGCGCTGACAGAGTCGGGGGGATTGCTGTCGTTCGTTGCCGACCGGGTCCCGCTAGATCGGGACATGCAGCCGCATGTAGGCTGGTGGCTCGCGCAAGTTGTGATATAAGGCGCCGGCTTGCTGTCTAGGAAGAAGGACGCAGCTATTGACCATCACTGATCAGTCTGCATCTCCTGACTGTGTTGCGCATCGGCAAAGCCCTCCCTAGGAATCTAAACTATCCATCAGCCAGCTGTCAGCTCCCGCAAAACATCGTCTTCTCAAAGAAGCGAAAAAAGGGAAACCATGTCTCGCTACTTCCCCCACACGGCCTACGCAGAAGACCAGCCCCTCGCCGGCACGATCCTCACAGTCCACGTTCTCACGCGTGGCTACACAACCGGCACGGTAGTGGGTCTCGGCGTCGCGGCCGCGAGTGGAGCCGCTCGCCGACTCCGCGGCACAAAGCCCGTGCCAGCCACCGCCGTCGCCGGTACCCCGTTCTCCACATCGGCAACGACAGCACTCCGAAGCGCAGGCGGACTACACACCCTCCTTCGTAAATCAGGCACCGCCAGCGCTGTCGGCCTAGGCCTCACCGGCGTCGCCACGGTGGCGAGGATGTACGGCCGCGAGGACATTGAGTGGCGCGATCGCGCATGGAGGCTGATGGAGAGCCGGAGCCAGCTGGAAGTGGACGACTGGACGTACGGTGGTGCGGCTGCGGGTGTTGCGGCACTTGGTATCGCGAGGGCGGCTGGTATGAAGGGGAGTGCGCTCGGTGTGAGGGTCGTTGCTGGCGCTGCTGGGTTGGGGAGCCTTGCGGGCACGGTTGGGTATATGGTTTGGAGGTACGGTGTGCATGGAGGGAAGTATCCCGATTATGTCGATCCCGAAGTTGCGTTGTCGAGGGTGTGAGTTTGTTGTGGTTTGAATCTTGGTTGCTGTGAGGCCTGTACATTAGATAGATCAATACCCCAAATGGATTTGCTTACCTGGACTACGCCGCAACGTCTTGGCAATGTGTGCTAGTGTTGTGAAGCGGCCGCCTGACTTTGTGACATGGCGGACAACTTCGATTGGTTCGCTGCTGACAAGCGTGTTTTTTGTGCTGGTGGACTCCGCCTTGGTATAGTCTGGAGGAAGCTGGTGCCTAGTTAGTGATGAGGGGCGGCTCGGTGGCGATCCCCAGTGTAGGACAGACGACCCCTTAACTAGCAGCTCGTAAGCTCCTTGACAAGTCTAACAAGTATCATCGAGTGTCTTCAACCAAGTGACTGAGCCTCACCGGCTAGAAATCTCGAGCCTGTAACATGATGGCTGAAAGGTCAGGATGACTCAAACGCCGCTGGATATCAAGACTGACGAATCCAGCTCAACTCCCTCGCAGACTGTGTCAAGCACCGCGCAGTCTAATGACATTTCAGGTTGCGAAATCTGCCACCAAATCTGGACCCGTCTCACGACGTCTCCTGGCGGCAAATACCACGATACTGTCAATCTAGGCTCCTTTGAAGAAGCCCTCTCTTCGAAATGCAGCAGACATGTGCCCATTGTCAAGATGTTCCACGAGCTTTGCAGTAAATCAAGGCAACTCAAAAGCCTCGACTCTGCCGATGTGGGCATCAGATTCCCTCGAACAGGTGCGCTCCAGCTCACAGAAAACATCAAGACTGGCGGCCGATACGCCGACCTCTTACTTGTGAAAAGTGACTCCATTCCGAGCCACCCGGGTATCGCTCGCATCCTAGACCCAGAATGGATCGATACCAGCGTCGTGACATCCTGGAAGCAGCAATGCGCGTCCTCCCACGGCCCCAAATGCGCCAATCCCGTCAAGATCTGGCCGATTCGTCCAGCCTGGGTGGTAGACACCGAGAGGCGATGCATCGTCCCAGGAGACGGTTGCGAATCCTACGTCACGCTGAGCTACCGCTGGGGCAAGACGCCCGGATTGCACATCCTCGGCGATACAATCTCGAAGCTCCAAACGCCTGGCGCCATTGACGACCCTGTTATCGCTTCCCAGCTCGCCCCCATGGTGCGCCACGCCGTGCACCTCACCTCCGTCATTGGGGAGCGGTACCTCTGGGTCGACACCCTCTGCATCAACCATGCCCGGGCAGAAGAGAGCAATCAGCAGCTCCAGCTTATGGCCGCCATCTTCGCAAACGCTTCACTCACCATCGTCGCACTCGATGGTGATGCCGAGGACGGCTTTCCCGGTCTGCGGGGCGTATCATCGCCCAAGGACCAAGCGGACCAAGGCGAAGACGAAGGTTGGAGCCCAGTACCCTTTGGCGACGAGCAGTTCATCCGAGACAAGAACAACGTTTTCAGCCTGAGTCACTGGGGAGCCTATCACGAGCGCGCGTGGACATACCAAGAGTTCAAGATGTCCCCACGGCGCCTCATCGTCAGTAATCATTCTCTGCACTGGATGTGTCAGTGCAGCGTATGGGAGGAGCAACTTCACCTTGGCGTTGAGGCTGGCAAGTACATTGATCCCCGCTTAGGCGAGATCATGCGCGGGATGCCAAATCTCGACTCCTTGGCCAACATCATTGCAGACTACAACCCGAGAGCTCTGACATACGACGAAGATGCCCTGCCCAGCATCAGCGGTCTCTTACACGTCATCAGTCGGTGCTTCTCGGGCGGCTTCCTCTATGGCATCCCGGAGATGTACTTTGAAGCGGCACTCGGTTGGACGCCGTACTGGAGCCACACCGATCTCCGACGACGGACTGTCTCTGATCGCCCTACTGCGAGCCAGCTCGGTCCATGTGGTCTTCCGTCTTGGTCGTGGGTGGGTTGGGAAGGTCTCGTCTCCGTCGGGCGCAATGAAGCCGGTCCAGCGAATCCTCTGGCTTACTCGATCAGAGAGACAATCCCCATAACCACGTGGTACGCCTGCGCCACGCCGACATCAGCGCAGAGAAGAAAAATCAGACCCTCCTGGTTCGAGAATCGCCAGGCGTACAAGGACTGTACTCGGCACTTGCCTCCAGGGTGGACTCGACAAGAGATTCCTGGTCCAAGACACGGCGAGGAAGGGGACGTACTGCTTTACCCCGATGGGTGCGACGAGTATACCTTTAGGCACAGTAGTATGTCTGACCATGACGACGAGCACCCGTGGTACTGGCCTTTCCCCGTGCCGGACATTCAGGAATCGACGCAGCCGTTCATGCCGGAACAGACGCTGTATATTAGCTGCGATACCCGCCGCGCCCGCGTGTCTGCTTTTCAGACAGACGAACACAATGATGTCTCGCTCTATAGTGAGGAGAAAAAGATTGGGTGGTTGCGATTGCACAATAAAGGTCAACTCGAAATCTTCCCTCACCTGGATGTCGGATGGGCTGCTGCGAAGGAGGTCGAGTTGGTTGCCATCTCCCGTGTGCGAAACTACAAAAAGACCTTTGATGAGACGATCAAACGCTACACGCACCCCTTCACGGCCTCAGAGGGGTATAGCGTGCTGTGGGTGGAGTGGATTGACGGGGTCGCGTACCGCCTCGCGAGTGGCCATGTCGACAAGACTGCGTGGGAGGGGCTGCCTCTAAAGGATGTGTCTTTGATTCTGGGGTGAGCTGTACTCTATCTGGTATCCTATATGGCTCTAGATCCAATGTCTGCTATACATGTCATCTTACAACTTCTCCTTACCGGCGAGTAGCTCCTCAATCTTGGCGAACTGGTAGTAAAAGTCCAGACTCTGCGGGTTGAGGAGCGTGCCACTTGGCTTGATGGTCCGGCCCGACACAATCTGCTTCACCGGAAGTTCGACCTTCTTAAGGTTGACCGTCGTCTGTTTTGTCAGCGTGCTTCGTAGACAGGGAATCTCTGGGCTTACTGGTATCTCCGGCGTTTGAAAGATGTACTTGGGCACATGTCTCTTGGTCAACTCTCTCTGAATCTTGTCCTTGACCTCGGCCACTAGCTGCCGGTCAAACTTCTCGCCATCGCGCATCATCAGGAATAGCATGACGCTCTCGTCGTTGTCAGTGGGACGCCTCTGCCCGACACACAGGCTGTCGACCACCTTGTTTGAAAAGTTGCGCTCAATGACTGCGTAGATCTCGGCACTGCCAAAGCGAACACCACTGGGGTTTAGCACACCGTCCGCACGTCCGAGGAAGGAAATGTTGCCCGTCTTTGGGTGGATGGAGCAGAAGTCGCCGTGTGCCCAGACGTTATCAAAGCGAGCAAAGTATGCCGAGTGATATTTGGAGCCCGGGGCGGCAGACGCGAAGTTGGGCGAGCTTGGTGACAACTTTGGGGGTGCCGAGTCGCCCCAGAGGAAGCACGGGATGTTGGGGAAGGCGGCGGTGGCGACGAGTTCACCAGGTGTTCCGTTTGGCACGGCCTCGCCAGGTCCGTCGGGCAACTGGGCTTCGTAGATGGCGATGGGGACGCCGAGGGATGGCCCTTGAGTGCCGCCCACGTATACGGGGTCCAAGGGGTTCTCCATGCCGAAGCAGCCGGCCTGTAAGTGTCAGTAAAGAAGTCGGGCATGTGTGGGTGACTTACAATGTCGGTGCCACCAGAAATGTTGGCAAGATGGACTTGCTTCGGGAATCCTGCGTCGTAGAACCATTCAAACAGCTGATCAGAAAGCACCATACCTGTGCTGGTGACAATCTTGAGCGAGCTAAGATCCGTCACCTCCCGCGGGCTGATCTTATTCTTGGCGACCTCAAACATCCACCTCGGGCTGATACCCAGTTTTGTCACCCGCTGCTCGCCGAGGATGCGGATGAATGACTTGAGGTCGGGGACGAAAGGCGAGCCATCGTACATGACGACACGGGCTCCCGATAGCAGCGCTGCGACGTTGGCGAGGTACATGATCCAACCGGTTGTGGTGTACTGCAGAGTGACGGACTCGGGTGACATTGACTCGTGCAGGCGACCTTCTTTGAAGCTGTTAAGCATGACGCCGCCGACGGTGTGCACGATAGCCTTGGGGATACCCGTGGTGCCAGACGAGTAGTAGATGAGGAACGGTGCGTGGAAGGGGATACGCGTGAATGACGGTGCTGCTGAGGTGGAGGAGCCAAGGAACTTGGACCACGTCTCGGTCTTGGGGATCGAGGACACATCGTAGGGCTTGGAGAAGCGTGGGATCGATACGAGACCAGAAAAGGAAGGGCACGAGCCCATGCCGGAGACGACCTCGGCCATCTTGTCTCGAAGGTCGGCTGTCTTGCCGTTGTACACCGTGGCGTCGTCAAAGAAGATGAACTGGCGTGTGTGAGTGCAGTTCTAGGAGGTGGGGAGTGACATACCTTGGGATCGACCTGCGTGGTCCTCTGCAGGATGCCCTTGACGCCCATATCCGTGGACGAACTGCTAAAGATGCCGCCCAACCATGTCGTCGCCACAAACACCAGCAGCGTCTCGATAGAGTTGGCACCGACGAGAACGACGCGGTCTCCCTCCTTGACGCCTCTTGCTTTCAGGGCTGCTGCCAGACGACCTGCATCACGACGGAGCTCGCCCCAGGTGAGGTTGCGCACATCACCGCGGTTACCTTCTCGAATCTCGGTGACAGCAACTTTGTCGTCTTCCTTACCCTCGGTGCCGTGGTGGTCGGCCGCATCAGACGAACCTCGCGTGAAGAGGAGGTTCTCGGCCCAATTGAGACGCACACCAGGGAACCACTTGGGGATGGCGTCTATCGTGAGCGATTCATCCACAACAGAGGTTGGACGCCCTTCGTGGATCAAATTGGCGTAGTCAAAGAGATGGCCATAGAACGTGGCGCGGTTGGCTACTGTCCAGTTGTGGAGGTCGTCAAAGGTCTGGAATCGTGTAAGCGGACGGACTAACATTGGGGGGGAATCGGGGCATACTGACCTTGAGCTGGAGGTTAAACTTGGAATTGACCGATTGTAGATATTGGTACATTT